CCCCAAAACCCCAAAACCCCAAAACCCCAAAACCCCACATTATGAAAATGACGTTGAACCCAATAAAATATACAGAAAGAATTATTAATGGTGCCAAAGCGCTCTTTAAACATCCAATGTAAAATGCATGACTGGCTAAAATCATCCATCTATGATATACACCTGAGAACTGATAAGCCAGACTTCATTCGATCAAACTCTGATAGGTCTTCACAAAGTTCAATATGAGTCTCTGCGAGTAAGAAAATTGGTGTCTGAAGAACCATTGATAATCGAGATACTGAAGCGATCTCTCCTCAGGTATATCAATGCAATTCTTGAGCTAAAATTTTTACCAAATAGAATCTTTCTAAGGTTACATGTCCGAAAGCATGTTGATACATCCTTAGACAACATCTCTGGCAGATCAAATTTCTATATTGTTAAAAAGTAAGGAGGGTTACAACATGATCTTGGCCTAAATTCTTCATTAAATCTTCTATTTCCTGCTAGTCTAGCCAGGTAGAGATCTTTCAGCAATACCAAGCTTGACTGGAACAACAACATTAAGCATTCAAAGTAGTATGGAATTTTAGGACTTAAGCAATCTAAAGAGTTTGGAGAGAAATATTTTACAAAAATATTCAGGTTTTAGGAAACAATTACTGAAAACTAGCTTAAATTACATCCAAAGCCTCAGAACAAAATATCTCTTGCTTATACGCATTGATCAAAGGCAGTGAAAACAAGGAAGGAAGGTCATTAGGAATTTATATAAAAGTCTTAGGTGGTAGTGTGCAGACGAGTTATAGTTTTTACTCACTTTATGCAAAATATGTAGCCAATATTCTCACTTATACAGTCTTACTTTAAGCCATAAAAATTTATAAAGAGAATCAGGGAAATATAATAACACTTTTTGGAACTAAAATAGCAATTTTCTCTTTCTCCAGTCAGTATTATTAATATTTTGATAGGAATAATTGGTAGTAGTTAGACAGGAGGAAGAAATGGTTATTATTCCCCTTGCATGACATGTTATAATCCCTGACAATTATAACCTACTAATTTTTATCAATGGCCCTAACTTTATTAACAATACTTGCTAAAAATAGAAAATATCGGGTTATTTTTAATATTTTTGTAGCATCTCTTTTAAAGATTCTACTAAAATTTCTAAAATAAATTCATGAATCTTCTTGGCTTTAGTGTGTTTTCCCAAACCCAAGTTTTGGGAATTGGGAATAATATTTCTATTCTGATCTATAAATAAGTTTATATTCTCTTTAGTACCTATTTAACCAAGGTTCGAAGCCGAAGCTGATGGTATGGAGAAAGAAGTAATTGAAGTCTAAATAAAAAGATTCATGCAGTCCAGTACGAAAAGATACCAGAAATGGAAAGTACTAGTCTTTCTGGAGTGTCTAACAAAGGAGAAGGAGGCCAACTACCAGATGCTGATTTGGTAGTAATAGAGATATCTAGCTTAATTTGTACTGAAAAAGACCTCTAAGTCCTATTTTTAGAGCCAAAAGTTCTTCATAAAAACTGTTGTTTAAGTAGATAATTTTTGTGATTATGATACATATAATTTTTTGGGAATATTGGTGATTTTAAGAGATCTCAATATTTCGTGTTTACTGGGGTTTTGGGGTTTTGGGGTTTTGGGGTTTTGGGG